CTCTTGCACTGTGACCCTGTGGCCCTGAAAGGAAGAAGGGGGTTAAAATACAATTGATAAATTAATACATATATGAATATAGACAACATTTTCTATAATGATAATGGCCTGACTAATTCCTACCTGACAAAAAAATAATAATATATAGATCATAAACACTTTCACAAACCTTTAGTGCTTTTCACACAACCATTTTGCAACATGGCCATAAAGATAAGTGCCCCTGACCCCAKATTCATTTTTGGTCATTTACACATAAATCACTTGACCTGTTGAAATGTGATAATGGTGTTCAATGTGTTCAATGTGTACATACATGTATCTAAAGCATGTGAATGCCTGGCTCACACTGTGCAACTGTGCTCCATAAAAACATAAAAATAAAATAAAATAAAAAAATAAAGGAATAAAAAATGGCCTGTAGACACTGTGTAAGCTTGAGATTTTAAAATTTTGCTAGTAACCCATGTCACAATGCGTAACACAGAATGTTTTAACCCTTTCAGTAAAAATGCATGTTTTAACACAGGTGAATCAAGTGTGCCCCATTATATGACCACGCATGGATTCAAGCTCACAACCTAAGATATATACTATTTATAATTTTCCTCMCATTTTGTTTAGGGCAGGCACATTTTGCACAGCTTTTAATAGGCTTAAGAAAATCCTGAACATAAAGAAACATAAAGCTTAGACAATAATACGCATTAATAAAAAAATGCTTACAACATACATGTGTTTGTATCAACAGAACCTTGCACATCATGCTTTATCTTTAGAAGTTTGCCTACAAACAATGTGAGAACTGCAACTTCTCACTTGTTTTTGTTTGAAGCAGTTAATTGCATTTTTGTCAGCAGCTTTATGATGATCAAATATCTTGCAACAAGCTTTGCAAAGTAAAGCCTGACATTCATCAGAACCCTTTCATTAAAGTGTCATTAAAATACAGACTTTCAACCTTTATGGGCAAGGAAATGCAGTAACGTTGACAGCTTTGTGGCGCAGTGTGTGGTGGCCTGTAATTGACAGCAAAAATAAAGTCACAGTTTTCACTGTAGGGACAAGTATTCTGGCTAATTAGAGCATGTATGCATGAGAACTGCCTGGTGTAGAAGTAATCTATCATGAGGTGCATAATTACAGCGCTTACTTTTATGCTTGAGAGTGAAAGCACTATAATTTATCATTGAGCGGTTAAAAACTAATGCAGGTAAGCAGCAGGGGAAAAGAATATAGGCTGCCAAGTGCCACGAGGACATTGGTATTTATGAAAAGAAAGCTATTAACGATTGGTATTTATGAAAAAAAAATGTTATTAACACTGTATATAAAGCTCAAGAATGATGTGAGACCGCCCTGGACTGCCTCTAATCTTTGTGTTAATGTATTATTATAAATCATACAAGTAATGCAAACTTATTATTTTTTTAATGTTTATTTTCTTTCTTTCAGGGAATGAGCTCCACAAATCCCAGCGTGTAGTCCTGGGAATTGACTTTTGGGTTTGCCACACCCAACACGGCTCCACACCTCACTTATTCCGACAATACATCACCATCAGTTGTTTCACTATAGCTGAGACCTCTCATCAACAACTTCAACTTGGGGACCGGAACGTCACAAATTGCCAATGCTTACAAGGAACTGCCTGCTGCTGTTCCTGTGGATTCTTGTCAACGAGGATTCTGTCTTTTCTTTGCATCCTCCTCCATCCCCACTGGGACGGAGCAGGATAGGGAGGGAGCACGCCAAGAGCTTGGTGGGCTCGACGAGGAAGAATGGAGCGGCCGGTTTTCAGCGGGTCAAGAGAGGATGGGTGTGGAACCAGTTTTTTGTACTGGAGGAATATATGGGATCAGACCCACAGTATGTGGGGAAGGTAAAAAAAAAAAAGCTTTGTTATTCAGTAATTTATTGTGAGGCAGAAGTCATAAATTACATAGAAGCTTGGGAGGAATTGACTTGGAGGCAAAAGGTAGCAACAACAGAGGATGTAAAGGATTTATTAGAATAAGTGGAACAGAAAGAAACACTGTTGTAGAAAAAAATAAAAAAAATGCATTGTTTCAGCGACAGTTAACAAAACACATTTGTTAGCACCTTAACTGCTAACTAAGCAAAATAAAACTATAAAACGTTTACATGGATCATAGATAGAAATTAATCTACTACCTTAAAGGCACTTCCTGCAATTGCCTGCTTTTATTTTGCCTCCAAAGTTTGACCATTATCTCTCCTAATGCTGTATTTGTGAAAGTGTTTCTGTGTTTTTTTTTTAGTTGTTCTGTTTCAACCTTTTAATGTAAGACTAGTGATACTCATGTGGCACTGAAGTTGTTTTTGAATTCATGACACCATAAGAATAAATCTAAATTATGGTTCATGCAAAGCTTTTAGAACATCATGGTTATGAACCAAGGAGGGTGCTGATGGCAATAAAAAGACAAGAGAGACCCACTAGCTTGAACAATATTGAGACTGGGATGTATAAACAGACTTGCTTCTCTCTGTCTCCTCTCAAACCTTGGGCGTCTTTTTTTTAGTAGGATTTCTTATTCACTGCTCTGGCTTAGGACATCCGTAAGTAAACTCTGTGGGGGTTTAGGGCTAAAGTTGTAATTTGGCAGTCCTAGCTTACATAGGATAATAGTAAGACTGACTTATCTGCCCCAGTGCCACTGCAATCAGCCCTGACATGCTGCGCTGTTTGTGGAAGTCTCTGAGGCTAAAGCAGGGAGAGGGAGCCTGATGTCTGTTGCACTTCTAAGTCCCTTAATCCTGAATCGCTGCAGTGCTTCAAAATAATTGACTGATTCTTCCACATATGAAAAGCATTTGGAGATCCTCTGATTTTTATTTTTATTTATTTATTTATTTATTTTTTTTTTGGGACAGTCTTATAGAAGAGGATTTTGYCTCATAATTGATGCTACAACGACAAAAAAAAAAAAGTTCAAACTGAATGCCTRAACACAAAAGAAGTGGGTGCAAGTGAAAAATCTTTCAAGGACTCATTAGCCATCATCACGGTTCCAATAATGGTGCATAAATAAACTGTAATAGACATTGAGTCAGCAGTGTATGCTTGATTAATACCACATCAATACATTCTTGTGGTAATGTTTTCAGTCCAGAGTGTGAACATGACTTTCAATCAGTCATCTGCGTGGTACTGGCCCAACAGTGGCTCATTAGCTTTGCTTTATTCAAAGTGGCAAAAGTGCCCTCCTGCCACTTTTGTRGTGTATCACGATGGAAGAGAAAGACTGCAGCAAATATTGTTATTACAAGAGAAAATTCAGATTGCAGCAACAAATTATGGCATCATTTCTTGAGCTATGAGTGTGATAACATGCTAACAATTGTGCATAAAAAGTATTACATTTGTTTTTTAGCCAAACATTCACAAGCAGCTGTAAGGRTCTAAGGGACATCATTGGCTGTTACAGGCATACTGTTGCAATCACTATTTATTTGCTAAAACATTATATTCATACTTTTCTGTGTTCCAAGAAGCATCTTATATTTTAAAACATCTAGCCTGCAGAGGATAGCTGCAGAGGAGAAGGACATGAAATGTGGGGCAAGAGAACAGGAGAATTACATGGAGCCAAGATCCCACTGGCTGAAATTCAAAAGCAGGAACTGAGCTGTACGGAGCTTTTTCACCCATGGGTTTAGATGCTAAAAATTGAGTCATTGATATTTTTATAGTCATATTATGTATTTTTTAAATTTAGTTATAACCACTACATTAAAATCTATGATGAACATTTTAATCCATCCATTGCAAGTCTATCACAGGGACACATAAAAAGAGGATGAACAAACTAACCATCTTTGCCTCCACACTTTTATGATTTTAAAGTAAAATTTATTTGATTTACTTATGTTTTAACTTCTTTGTAAAACAAAGTTTGAATTGTCAAGAAAAGTTCAAAGTCAATATTTTATAATAATTAGCCACATAAGTTTTTTTTATGTGCTTTTTCTTTCTTTCCTTTTTTAATGCACACAGAAGTAAACAGAAGAGCAGACTTTTTAGACTTTTCTAAAAATGTTTCATATATATATATATATATATATATATATAGTTTTTCTTTTTTGTATTTTTTACAAAAGTAACCTTTGTAGAGTTGCAGTCAAATAAAGGCAAACCTAAAAATAAAAAGAGAAAACAAAATAAATATTGCCTTTTTTGTAACCCAAGGCAAAAATTAACTGTCTTACCAACAATACACATTTTCATGAAGAGCTTTGCTCAAACTCCATCACTGCCAGCTGTAATTGCAGAAGCTAAATCATTTCTAATTAGCGCTGGCTGCTAAAACATAATTCACATTGCTAGCAGGGGGAGGTGTGTCAGGTGTCAGTTCTGACAGCAAACTAAATGTAGAACTTGTACTCGGGGTGAAAAATGTGGCAACTACTGATGGAGTGAGGTTACAGTTGGTTCTGTGTCAACTAATTTTCCTAATAACTAGCGACTAGTGAACGCTTCACTGCTTAATAATGCAAAGGCTTAAGTTTGGACACTGAAATATTGCAGTGTGTTGCCCTTTTCTGTTGCCCAGAAGAACAAAATAAAGCATAGTTAAATTCCAAATCCAACTCTCCTTAAAACATTCATAACCAAATAAGTTACAGGCCTGCTTTATAATGACAAAAGTCATTATGACAATCTTGAAAATGCAGCTATCAGTTTCTGTCTTTTTTTATTTATTTTCATTTTGATGGCATTTTGCTGCACATGGTTAGAATTCATATTGGGGCAAGACAAGTACCAGTTTTAGAAAGTTATGTGGAAAGTGGTGCTACTCATTTATGAAACATACTTTATTCTAAACATTACTTATGGCACTGCACATTTCAAATAGATACATATGTTTTGCATATATCTGAGACTAATCATTACTCTCATATTCCTAAAGTAGAATATATTTTACTCACAGTACAGTAACTTCACATTTAACTTGGGTAAAACCAGAGATCCGTTTGCACTTGGAGCAACACATGATGACAAATGCCTGCCATCCAGCCACTTTCTCCAGTCAATCTGTCACATCCTAAAAAGTCCCGGACAGTGATTTCCATTCTCTTCTCCACCTTATTCTCAAATATCTCCTCTTCTGAATCTAGGTCGTAGTCTGGCTGTAATATATCCAGAATGAAAGCTATGTTATAGTGAAGCATTGTTTCATATTTTATCTCCTTTGAAAATATATCAACATACCTCAAAAAGTCAATATACTCCAGGAGAGAGGTAGAAAGGGTCATTTGTTTTTGGTGTGGTGTCCTTCCAAGTTTGTGCTTTGTTTAACCCAAATGCATGCATTCAAAAATGCACTTCAAAACCCCACTAGTATAGATTTTCTATGGGCTTTTTCCATGAATATATTTCAGTTTTACACAGAAGGTTTTAAGTTATAAAAATAACAGATAATAAAAATAGTATCAGCTACCTGTTCTATTTTGGAATAATGAGTGCCAGCAAGTGTATTTTGTTCTGCAGCATCTGTAGAAAGATGTGCCATGTCTGCATTTCTGTTTGCCCTGGTGGTGCAGTATGTCTGCAAAAAAAAAAAAAAAAACAATGCAACTTTGTTTTGGCATTCAGAACATTTAATGTATGCAAGCTAATTTAAAAACAAACAAACAGAAATAAAAACACTGATGCTGTGAAATATTAAGTTAACTAATATATTCATATTTGTTTTATGGATATTTCTCTGCATTGTAGGCTTAAAAAAGTTGGGACATGCTTTTGCATTGAAGCAGTTTGCATAAGTTGACATTGTACAGTACAACTTGTTTGCTGTATTTAGTTGACATGGGAAGACATGTCAAGGCCAACAGAAACTTTACCYACTTAAATTCTTACTGGGACGTAAACTAGATGCTGAAGTGATGATGTATTTTGGCTACAAAACAGGACTGATAGATAAACAAACAAAGTTGATTCTCTCCTTGTCTCAAAGTAATTTCCACTGTGACAATCAGACTAACCAATTAATGTAACGTTTATGTTTGGTCAGTGGGATGGAACTGGAGTAGCCTGGCCCTTGTCTTCGCTACGCAGTTCTGCTCAATTCTAGTTTCCCTTCACTGCTCCGTCTGGGATTTCTCCCATAGACAAGGATTTCTTCAGGAGAATTTTCGTCCAGGCCAATCAGATAACAGAAGGYGGAGTTTTGAACAACGTTAATTTTCTGTGCAGTGTCTGCTAGTTAGTTTAGCAATGGCAGTGGAGGAGGTGAATGAAACCAGTCTGTGTTGATAAGGCTTCCAAATTAAATTCAATTTGTCTGACAAAGCAGCAGCTCTCATTTACAGTCGTCTCATTTGGCTCAGCACTTCTCTCCTCTCAGTAGGGTTGTTTACAGTGCAATTTCCAGTTAGCTTCTTAGCTTAGCCTCCTTCACAGTGGTGCTGGCACACATACRTCACGGCCAACCGATCCAATCATTTTAAACTTCAACAGAGGCCACGCCTCCCGCAAGAATCGCTTCTCTATAGCCGAGAGTCCAGACCCTTGTATGAAGCAAAGTGAAGGACGAGGGTCTGGTTTTAACCAGGCTAGAACTGGAGTAGTCCTGAGAAAATCAACACAAGCATGGAGAGCAACTTAAAAAATGAACTTGGTTATTGTGACATTTTGTAAAAATAAATAAATAAATGAAAATCAGAACTAAAAAAAAAATTACAGATTTGGCTGCAATTTTTAAAGAATAAAATAAATCTGTGCGTTCTCAAAGTTTCAAAATTAAAAGAGCATAGTTGCACAGTTTCACCTTTACCAGCATAGACACTAGYCCCCAAAGTTAAACCTAATGAATTTACATTGTAAAACTTTGGCCCTACAAAAATAAAAGAAAAAAG